ACCGAGGAAGAGTTGTGTGTACAAGTGGCTGTAGATTTATAGATATAGTGTCTTAATTAAATTACGCCCAAGAACTTCTGATGGCCAGTGCTTACTTTTGCTAGCTTTGGAATGCATGCTCCATGACTTAATCCCCCTTTTGAGTAATAATATGCCATCAACTTCATTAAAACAACATAAAAACTGCCATCCTGTGATGAGCTGCAGTGTCCCCGCTTCTGTGCGCGTTAATGGTGTGGCTATTCAGCTTTATCAGTGAGGTGGATGATCCAGGCAGCTGCCGTCTTCCTGGTTCCCTGGTCCGTCTCCTGCGTCGGATTTACAAACGGGCATGAGGCATGTATGCAGGGATTTTTTCCCCAGATAAATCCATCTCACTAAAGATCGCGGAAAACATTCACGCATCCAGACAGTTTTGTCGGGGTGCAGTTTAACGGCGGCGATGCAGCTTATGTAAACATTAAAGCTGTCAAACAGCTTAAATTTTTAATCGGCGCTAAGCGCGCAACTTCAGAAAGACGTCTGCCTCCCGTGCTTCTCGTGAGGCTCTAAGACATCCCTGTCTCACAGCAGCTCTGGGTATCGCGGTGCATTTCAAATCGTTTTCGTTCAAACAGCCGATGACTTGGTACGCTTTTTAAATAGCAACTTGGTAGCTTACTGGCATTGTTTATAAGCGCTTTGTAGCTGCTTGCGACAGCTCCTTCTGAAGGGGGCTGCGACCTGTTATGAAGTCTAATGAGCCGACGGTATGTGACAGAAACACTAACGGTGGGCTAGTGCAGTGCGGCCGTATGATGGGTTGATTTTGTTTTTTACTCGTTAGGAGAAAACCAGTGATGGAGGTGATGGTGTACTCCTGCTAAAATTTCAGAAAAGCAATTTAGGATTTCAAAGGGATTCTCAGGTCACTTTTTGGTGTAGGACACAGAAGCCTGATTGCTGTTGAGTAAGATCAAAGACAACCTGATTTCTCAGCTGAGATAAAGTCTGAAATTATGCTTTATTTGCCAATTGCATAAGTACATTGGAAATGTTTCGTTTTGCATCTGCCGTCATCACACATACATGCACAGGGGCCACAGGCAGCCCAGAGCTCACATCCCATTAGGAGGAGCTGAGGGCCTCATTTTTGCACACAGACACAAACGGAGCCTCAGGACAGAGAGAAGCTGCAGGCTCCGCTGGCCCAGTGCAGGGAGGACAGTGTGGCTGTCCTCTTCCATTAGGAGCTGCTGTGGGGCCCCAGGCGAGAACAGAGAGGAGACTGGGACAGAACACGGCCCTGACAGTGCAGGGGCCCGAGCCTAGAGAACAGAACAGGGCCCGGACAGTGCAGGGGCCCGAGCCTAGAGGACAGAACAGGGCCCGGACAGTGCAGGGGCCCGAGCCTAGAGGACAGAACAGGGCCAGGACAGTGCAGGGGCCCGAGCCTAGAGGACAGTGCAGGGGCCCGAGACAGAGCAGGGGGCCAGTATAGAGGACAGAACAGGGCCAGGACAGAGCGGGGACCAGCAGCGTTTTCACCAGCTTAGCGTATGTTTGATCTTAGCCTACGATTTATGTGAACTGCCCCTTCGTTTGAGTTTACACGCTACTAATAAATAATCGGTTGCACCACGCAAATAGTTTCAACGTAGCACTAAGTTATGATATAATTTTTACGCAGCCTTAATATTAGGTGTAGTACACCTATACGGTGGTCCGTCGTGACAAAAAGTGGTGAAAATGGCACAAATGTGAATAACCTAACAAACCTTTTTTTGTTTTTAACTTGTAATAGTATAATGTTAGAAGCGATAACTAGAATAATTTGTTACCTTTTCTGCTGATTTAGGATAAAACAAGGCAGTCGGCTTGACATATCAACCTTAGTCTACTGAGCTAACATTAGCTGACAAGCTAGAGAAATACGCCGTTATTTGTTTCGCGTGAATCCTGTTTGTATCTATCGGGCTCAAGTATATCATATAGCAGAACGACTGTCAAGCACCTAGAATACATGTCTGTCTAACTTTACCACAAGTTTGATAAACAAACGAGTGATATATCAGACCCTGGTTGCTCCCTACGGATCCCCCCCCCCGTACGTGAACCACGGATTAACTGCAAAGTTTAACCATGATAGTGTGATAGGGTTATTGCCGCTGTCATTTTTAAAACTTAAATCGTTTTTCACAACGAGAGAATCCCCCGCTTATTTGTAGGACACGGGGAATTTTAGACTTTCTGTGAGAATGCAATAGCATGATAGTCGTGGCATCTTTAGGGGAATCTGCTTCACTCCTTCGCGTGACACATGCGTCACGTGTCTAACTACAACTTCTATCTTTCCAAGATTTATTTTGTGATCTTGAGAAAACAACTTTTGCTATATTAAAAAGTTGTGATCTCAACATAAGACAGAAAAAACAATGATGTATGTCCTCTATGGACTTTGGTGCGATAAAGAGTTGCAGTGAAAAGATTCAAACAATGCAGTCTACAGTATGTGTTCATGTAAACGGGAAGTTCCTCGCTTTGAGTTTTCTTTCTGTTCTTTAAGTAATAAATGGAAAGCAAAGTTATATTTGTCTTTTTTATTTTTCGCTAATCCGAAAAATGATCCGATCCGTGACTCAAATAATAGATATGAGCGGAGCCGTGAGTTTTGAAATCCGTTGCTCCCCTAAACCAAACACAGTGAGCGCCCTAGCTAACACACTTCTAACATCGCACCCTACACAGCACATTACGGGTTTCATTACCACTGTGTTTTAAACAATTCTCATAAATACAGAGTAAACAAATCGGTAGCTATGTATAACGCAGACTCAACAAACATGTGGAACAGCCAGTTAGTTCTGGTAATATCAGAAA